TTAGTTCACAGTTACTCATACACTGTAAATACCTTGGTAGATGTTAGCTTAGCATTTAGTTCACAGTTACTCATACACTGTAAATACCTTGGTAGATGTTAGCTTAGCATTTAGTTCACAGTTTCTCTTGTACTGTAAATACCTTGGTAGATGTTAGCTTAGCATTTAGTTCACAGTTACTCATACACTGTAAATACCTTGGTAGATGTTAGCTTAGCATTTAGTTCACAGTTTCTCTTGTACTGTAAATACCTTGGTAGATGTTAGCTTAGCATTTAGTTCACAGTTCTAAATGCTAAGCTAACATCTACCAAGGTATTTACAGTACAAGAGAAACTGTGAACTAAATGCTAAGCTAACATCTACCAAGGTATTTACAGTACAAGAGTTTCATAGTTACTCATACACTGTAAATACCTTGGTAGATGTTAGCTTAGCATTTAGTTCACAGTCTCTCTTGTACTGTAAATACCTTGGTAGATGTGGCTTAACATTTAGTTCACAGTTTTTCTTGTACTGTAAATACCTTGGTAGGCATAGTTTAACATTTAGTCCACAGTTACTCATTAGCAAGAAACAATTATGTTAAGTCCTTAAATAGCAGGATATACACAAGGCTAGCATAGGCTAGGCCTACATGGACGTACTTCGTGAAACACTGATTCCGAGTAATAAAAACAGCTGTCTTCATTTCATTGTCATACTTATATTTTATATTTATATCTATAAACCATGATTCATTAAAATATATTTTTTTTTGGTTACAGTAGAAATAAATATTTTTGAAGTTAGAGTATTTGGTCCTTCCTATAGTTTAATATTTTTACATATATGTATAAAAAGAAAAACTTGAAATTACATGACTCACCTGTCTCTTATACCTACATACAAATACTTGCCACAACATTCCAAACATTCAATCTGAAAAAGAAAAACATCAATTATACAACAATAATTCAAAATATCTTTTAATCCAGGAAAAAAACATCAAATAAACCCATTTCAACATAAATGCTTATATTCTTCAAACTTGTATGAAATATTTTGATATATCACATTATTTACAAAAATGCTATTCTAGAAAACATCACAAAAACTATGTAATATGCATATAGTGTTAGTGTGATGAAAGTATTGGCTTTTCAGAGTTTTTATATTAAATCAGGTCTTATGTCACTGCTAAATCTTTGTCAGTTTATGCCATGTTTTTTATGATTTATAGCCAAAAATAGCAACTACTGCAGTCAGAATAATAGTTTCAAAAAAAATATGTTAGTGAGAATTGGTGAATGGTCCCCCCTCCAATATATATATAAAATGAAACTCTCTATTAAACAATAAAAAATATGTAAATCTAAGGAAAAAGGAAATAATTTGAATTTTTTCAAGTGTTTCACTAAAAATTTCAGAAATTTGATGACATGAAAAATTATAGAAAACCAAATCAAATTATATGAACTTCATTAAATCAAATCTGGATACTATTTAGCAAGTTTTCTTAAGATTCATGGAATTTTGTTAAACATGTTCAGTGTGAGAAGGAAAACAAATCAAATGATATCAGTGACAGCCTCTCAACCTCTACTCCACAAAACGTTAAGAACTTTACCATTGCAACAACTAATATTACAACTTTTGGACATCTAGACATTTCATGTTAACAATCAAACAAAATTGGGGTATGCTTAGTATGTGAAATGAATGGTAATAATTTAAATCTAATCCACAAATAAAGTATAACTGAAATGCTATTCTATACCGATCTAACTGGAAACCAGTACTCTGCCTTCAAAAAGTGATGTGATTCAAATTATCATCACTGTTATTATGATGCAATAACAATACATACACTATATTACTAAATGTTCCACCAACCAAGTCATTCTACTCTCTAGGACTTGCTTCATAAATTAATAATAAAAACAGTATTTCAACTAAGAATTTGTTGGCCTAAGGAACTCTTGTAATGAGTGAAAAGCTTTGTTGACAATGGAATAATAGAACTGAGATTGTACAAATGCTGTTATACACTCTTTGTATTGGAAACCCATAGTGGGCCAGTTAAAAATGATGTGCTTTAAATCATTATCATTCTAGTCTAGTGTTAAATAATATAGCACACGTCTTTAATAAAATATGATAAACCAGTTAAAGCAGTCTGTCTCTCAAACTTATTAAACTATAAATGACCAATTTAAACAAAGTGTCAACTGAAAACTTTTATTTCCACACTACAGATGAGTTCAAGGCTAAATAACTATCTTCTGACAGTCTGTAATTTGTAAAAAAATTTCCCCTGGCTTGATGAACAGGGGTGAAAAGGATATGTGGTCCACTCATATACAGGATCCCACTACAAAAACTATTCCACTCTCAATGTCCACTAGTTTACATGTTTTATTGGCAACAATTCTTAATTTTGTGTTTCATTCCATCACACATAAACCACCCATACAAACTCTGCTCAAACTCAACAAATTTAAATATCTGAATCAAGTCACCTCTGATTCTCCTACATTTCCTTGTAGCTAAAATTTCTTAAATCTCATATTCTAGTAGCCCAGCTCTACAGTCTTTCCAACATGTAGCAAAACTAGTTGCCCAGTTCTACAGTCTTTCCAACATGTAGCAAAACTAGTAGCCCAGCTATAGAGTTTTTCCAACATGTAGAAAGACTAGTAGTCCAGTTACAGTTTTTCCAACATGTAGAAAGACTAGTAGT